TGTAGGTGAGGTGGTGAGAGAGATATAGGGCTCGAGCTAGGAGGTATACGTTGACAAGAAGGGAGATTTATTTTTTGCTTGCAGCTGCAGGACCTTGCGTCAGGATGTGATCCGTGGGAAGTGCCTTTGTTGTTTGCCAACCTGCTCCCTGGAGCGCTGGGACAGGGGCTGCACAACCTTGGTCTGGAGAGATAAGCTCCTTGGAAGGTTGGGGCAGAAGATGCAGACTTCAATAGGTCATTCATCTTCCCGAGAGGCTAGAAATGGGGGCCTTGAGTTCTATCTTCCCGAGGAGCTGAAGAGGGGATGGGGGCTGCCTAGTCCAGACCTGGCTCAAACAAATGTAATATATAAAATTTCAAATTTCCTACCTGGTGTTTATTGGGGGGAAAACCCAGCCTATAGAATTAACGTACACATTATAACCTCATTATAACTGGAAATTAAAACCAACGCCATTAGGTCAATTCTGACTCAAAGTGACCCTACATAAGGTTTCAAAGGCTGTCAATCTTTTTAAAAAAAATCATTTTATTGCCAGCTCTTACAATACTTATTACAATCCACACATCAATTTCATCAGGCACATTTGTACATATGTTGCTATCATTGTTTTCTAGACAGTTACTTTCTATTGAGCCCTTGGTATGAACGCTTCTTTATCCCCACCCACCTCCCCTGCAAATGCTGTCAATCTTTACAGAAACACACAACCTCATGTTTTTCCCATGGAGTAGCATGTGAGTTTGAACTGCTGACTTGTTTGTTCCCCAAAATTTCACCACATATAATTCTTCTTAATCATTCTGAGAATGTCACTTATATGGCTCACTGCAAAATACAGCAATTTTTCTCCAGACAAAATAAGAACCAACTAGTAAGCTGTCACTTCTACTAACTTTTGAAGGTTTAAAGCAGTTAGGGTATTTTTGCTTCTATGTATGAAGGTTAACACCCCCCCTCCCCCCATGAAATACAAGAACAATTTTCACCATCAAGTAAAAACCGGGGTTCTTTTTAAAACTAGCCCATAGTTAATTGTATGCTGCTGCACTGACATGGCACACCAAAGTGCAGGGTCCGGCCTGGTTTGGCGTCCGCTCTTGTTTCAATATCCAGCGCTCATGGAGTAAGTTCGGAGAATGTTCCAGTGGTCAGGCAGGATCTGTTTGTATACTATCACCACGTTATGCTCCTTGGGTTGGATGCTGTAGGGAGAGGCACGGTTTGCCAGCCCCATGTTGACTACCTAGTAGTCATCAAGGTAAAACAATTCATCTCCTCCTTAGCAGTCTATTCCCTGGAAATCTACTCGGTACCGTAAGATACCTCCAATTGCACCAAACCCTTTCACAAACTGGGATCCTTCTTGTGATTTATCTGTGACAATTTCCAATGTAGCTTCAATGTTTTTGTAGTTGTCAGCAAAACGTAACAGGGGCATGCATTCAATCAGCTCGTTTCTGTCCTCTGTGAAATGAGACTTACCCTTGTTCTTCTCGAGTTTTACGGAGAACTTTCTCCTTTTCTGTGCCTTGGCAATGAAGAACGTATCTCATTATTTCCAGATTTTCATAGACAATTAGTGTTTTCAGCTCCCATTTCCAAAGCGCAGCAGTTCTCAACCTGTGTCACGACCCCTTTGGGGGTCTAACGACTCTTTCACAGGGGTTGCCCAATTCCTAACAGTAACAAATTTACAGTTATGAGGTAGCAATGAAAATAATTTTACGGTTGGGGGTTACCACAACATGAGGAACTATGTTAAAGGGTGGCGATATTGGGAAAGTTGAGAACTTATGTTTTAGGGCATCTTCAACCCCCAAGCAATACTTGCTCCTGTCCTGGCTGGTTTATCAAAGTATAGTCTCCCATTAATTTCTTCTTTTGAGTGAGCTTCACAGTGGAGAGGACATCAGTAGGTAACTCAAAGCTTGGTTGAATCCATTTTCACCACCATAAGAGATAGCAGTTAATTTAAAGGCATTTAATTGCAACCTCGGTTCAAACATATCCAATTCCAATTAGCTTTAGTTCCGTTTTAAAGTCAGCTGACCAAGCTAAAACGAAACCAGCCACATTCACTTTGTTCCCAGAAATAAGCGGCTGCAGAGCAGGTTCAGCTTTCTTTTTTTAAATCATTTTATTGGGGGCTCATACAACTCTTATCACAATCCATACATACATCAATTGTGTAAAGCACATTTGTACATTACCCTCATCCTCAAAACATTTGCTCTCCACTTAAGCCCCCGTCATCAGATCATTTTTCCCCTCCCTCCCCTCTCCCTCATGAGCCTTGATAGTTTATAAATTGGTATTTTGTCATATCTTGCCCTGTCCGACGTCTCCCTTCACCCACTTTTCTGTTGTCCGTCTCCCAGGGAGGAGGTCACATATAGTTCCTTGTAATCGGTTCCCTTTCCAACCCACTCTCACCACTGGTCCTGAAGGGATCATCTGCCCTGGATTCCCTGTGTTTCCAGTTCCTATCTGTACCAGTGTACATCCTCTGGTCTAGCCAGACTTCCAAGGTAGAATTCGTGTCATGATAGTGGGAGCGGGGAGGAAACATTTAGGAACTAGAGGAAACTTGTATTTCTCATCGTTGTTACATTGCACCCTGACTGGCTCATCTCCTCCCTGAGACCCCTCTGCAAGTGGATCTCCAGTGGCCTACTAATGGGCTTTGGGTCTCCACTCCGCACTCCCCCCATCATTCACTATGGTAAGATTTTTTGTTCTGATGATGCCTTATACCTGATCCCTTCGACACCTCGTGATCGCACAGGCTGGTGTGCTTCTTCCATGTGGGCTTTGTTGCTTCTGATCTTGATGGCCGCTTGTTTAGCTACTTTTTTAACATGTTTTTAATTCTTAAACGGGCAAAAAAGGCAAACTGGCATCCTGTTTCTTTGGAAGATCCACAATGAATTTGTGCAGGACTTCTCTCGTCTCCTTGGAGTGTGCTTTTTAGCACAGCACTGCCATCTACTCCAATGAAACCACACTTGCTATCGTTCAAAAGTAGCTCTGGAAGGACCTCTGTGTGGAATTCGTTGTCACACAAATACAATGACGTATTCATTGGCTTGAAAGGCTCAAAGTCAATGTTGACTTTCTTTTCCTTTCCTCCTGTTACAATTGGTCCACAGTAAACAACTAGACCATTTGGAAGTATTTTGGTATAGTTTTGAGTCTCTGTTGTACAGATGGAATGACTCCCAGGACGAACAGCGGGTTTACTTGGGATTTAATGCTAGATGTGGTTGCAAACTCACCTTTTTGCCATTTGTGCTATCCGGTCTTTGGGAGTAATGACCAATGATATCATGCTTGTGCCGTGGCCGTGGGCTGCCTCCAAGCACCTGATGAATTTGATCTTCCAAATTGCCACATTCCTGACAGCAGCACTGGGGTTGTCCGCCATCTCCCCACCTCCTCCTTCTCAAGGGCTCAGTCCAGGGCGGCGGCAGCTGCTCCTTCCTGGCAGTGGCTTTGTACTGCTGACTTGGTGGTTAGCAGCCTAGCACCTAGCCCACTGCGCCACCAGGGTTCCTGGTCAATAGGAGTGGTAGAATGTTTGAAAGAAATGCAATTTCGCAAGCCTTGCAAGCTTATTAATGCATCAGAGTATTAAGCAATGAATGGCACGCAATCGGAGCTTCACAAAAGTTCAATGCATTCCAAGTATTATCCAATCCACTTATGTTGTAACTGCACACTTAGTAAGCAAGCAATGCTTTCAAAGGTCGTCATTCTTTCTCTCCAGTGGCTAATTCCCCTGAAATAATGTTTTAAACTTTTGTCCCATTTTAGTTTTCACATATGAATCAGTGAAGATTGTAATTCACTACATCTAGAAATTTATGTTTCTAACATTGTCATCAGCAAAATGATTTGAATCACTCCTCCCATCCCCAACCCCCAGGTAAAACATTGTTTTCTGACATCCTCTCTCGTCATGGCACATGAAGGCTGGCTGATTTTGCAACGTGACTTCCTGTGTTCTTTCTTCCTTCATACAAAAGTCTAGCTATTTGAGTATGTTCTTGGAACATGAAACATTTTAAGAAAATAAATGAAAAATCTAAATAAACCACGATATTATGAAGCTAAACTTTTCTTTTTTTAATTTTTATTTATTTATTTATTTATTTTTTTTGGAAGCTAAACTTTTCTATACATACTTTGAATTGTACCCTCCAGTAGTGTAGACTCTTAAGAGTCGAGTGTTAGAGGTAGAATAACAAGTTCCGAAGCGATCATCTTGAAGTCAGACGCTTGAATATTCTTTTGCAGATGCCACCTTTGTCAAGTCAAGCAAATATACTCAAATCAATAGTATCGGAAGATCATCAATGCAAAAGTCATCAGAATAGCTGACTTTAGAGAGCTATGCTAATTATTAGAGTATTCGAACCAAAAATCTCTGCCATCAAGTAGATTCCAATTGATATTGACCCTCTAGGGTGGAACAGAATGAAAACTGCAGGCTTTCCATCCGAGGCTGACGTCATTACGGAAGCAGATTACCACATCTTTCTCTAGAAGAGAGGCTGGCGAGTTCAGCCTCTCTCCTGCTAGCTAGAATGGAGCATTTATGTCACCACTGAACCACTACGGCTCCTGTGTCCCAGTCTCCCAGCAGCATAGAGATGGTGCAAAGGCTATCTGGGCTGAAGGAAAACCGAAGAGAAAAAACACCTGTGCATGCATCCCAAATTGATTAATTTCACATTACTTTGAGGATGAATTATGAAAATACACTTGAATTAGAAAAAAATGTCACACATTGGCCATGTGATAACCACATAGTTCCTATGAAAGAGGCTTCAGGGAAGACATGCTAAAATAATTTAGATGCCAGTACCGCAAATCCAAACAGACCAAAGACCTTAAGTAATCCTTTAGAAGGGAAATCTGTATCCTGCTCTCAATACATACAGATGTGATTAAACAAGATACCCCCCCAAATAAAGACGACTCATTCCAAGTAATTACTCTGCTTACAAGTTTTATTTACACAGTAATCATTACTAGTGGTTTTCATGAACTCCTTGTATTTACATTTTATACAAATTTATACTAGAAAGATAAAGAAACTGTACAATAATAGAAACAAGAAAAGGAAGTACAGCAACTTAGGTCAAACTCAGAAAACAAATACAGACAGGCAAGATTAAATTAGGCATGTAGTATAATCTCAGAGAGATTACCACCAGCAGTTACGTTTTCTCTTATCAGCACCATCAAAACCAAGCAAGTAGGTACCAGAGTTAAAACAGTCATCCACAAACTTACTAAGGCCCTGGGTTCTCCCTCAATATTTCATTACACTACTGGTTCCACTAAACAAGCCCCTGTGACAGGAGTCCATTTTTGAGGGTCTCATTGCTAGTCCCTAGGCTAAAATGACCCAGAGATTAAAAACACATGAGCATACTCTGGTCCCATAGTCCTAAAGATGCAGTATCAAGACTACATACCATTAACAGATAGTGTACTTGGTTGCTTTAAATCAAACTGCAACATGAATGCACACTTTAAATCTAATTCTTAACCAAATAGCATGTTATAAAGCATAATAATTCAAGTGACTTATTTTTGTTCCAAAAATTAAATTTATGTATGATAGTAAACAATGACAATTTATCAGTGATTAATAATTTATCCACAAACCATCAAAATTAGACTCACTAGAAAAAGTTAATTTTATCTTTTTTCTTTTACTCTTATATCCATTGATTAGAAAGTTATGCACACTGTTTTAAATGTTAGGAAGTTATTATGCATTGATTCAAATTTTAAACTGGAATTAAATTTTGTTTTTAAAGACAGTGGAGAAATTTTACTCAAAAACGTGGTCTTGCCAACTAGCATGCTATTTAGAACTCTCAGAACTCATTATTTTTGCTCTTACCAGTGGAGAACCTCATTTATATTTATGGACTTACTCTCAAAATCAAGTCTAAGTCCAGTAAAGTGCAAAGAATTGACAGTTATTTAGTTTGTCTAGTGCTAAAATTACTAGATAAACAATGTCTGAGGCTAGAAACAAATGCTAAAATTCTCTGAATGATAGGAATTCGTTATAAAGAATAGAAACAATTTCTTCAAAAAAATAGATACAATACTGAGTAAAAACATCTCAATGAATGTTAAAGCAATCTCCTACCAACATTTTTGGTCCCAGATAACCTAAATTTACCCCAACTGGTTAAGTGAAGATAAATGACTGACTTAAATAATATGCAACCAAAATTGTTTATTCTTGGTCTGTATCTTCAAGAGGTCAGGACTGGTGATAATATGTGTATCAATATGTTGTGTCAAATAGTATTTGGAAGTTAAAGTAGTATTTAAGAATTCCATTCTTTCAAAAAAGCTTTTGTGGTTATTGTTAAAAAAGAAAAGATGTAAAAAGTTGAAGTGTCTCTGAAACTATTATAAATTTTATTGCATTAAACTGTGCAGTTCAAATTATGGAATATGAGCTAGCTATCTAATTTTTTTCTTTTGTAAAATAGCTCCTCCTAGAAAACACATCTTAAGAATACTGTCAATTGGCATTTCATTACTTTAGCCACGGAGTTTAAAATATAGTTTTCCATCTCTTGATTCCATGGGATTTCTCCAAAAATCTCCTACATGCATTTCACATAGAAGGCCCCCCAAAAAAAGTTTTATCAAAAAGGCTTTTTAATATTTCACTGTCTGTTCGTTTTGAAGATTAGCTTTTCAGAGCTGGACTGTTGTTCTTGTCTCCTTCTTTGACATCCTTCATCACAGACGCAAAGACCTGGAAATTATATAAAATAAAGGTTAATCTTCAAAAACTACCACCAGATTATAAAGATATTTCAGTAACTATAGTTTATCACAGGGGATCTGAGAAAGACAGACGTGGCCACCTGTTACTGTGAAGATTACAGCCTTATATAACCCCTATGGGACATACTCTGTCACCCAGGGTTGCTAAGTCAAATGGTGCAAGGGCACTTGACATAAACATCAGCAGTGTGAAAATGCTTTAATATACTTAATTCTGTCTTCTGATAAATTATCATGCTCAAATTCCCTTACATTTATAAACACAATTTTATGGAATAGCCACATATTCTGAAATTATTCAGTGACTAAAAAATTTTCCTGACGAATATTTCTACATTCCATTTTCATAAATATGAACTTAAATGTTATGGTCTGTATCATTTGTGAACAAGTGATAAGACTGTCTTTGATTTCTACTTTGACTACTAGTATGTTTGCTTCCATAACAAAAAAAAAGCATATAAAAATCCAGAATCTATGTACAAATATGCTGGATACAATTGATGTATGGAATGTTTTAAAAGCTGTGAGAGCCACTAATAAAATGATCTTTAAAAAAAAGATCCAGTATCATACATTCCATTCTTTCTACAGCAAATGCTTTATCCACATTGTTGTTAACCACCATCAAGTCAACCTGTGACTCACAGTAACTTCAGGTACCACGGAAAAAAAACGCTGCCCACTGTGCTATCCCCATGATCAGCTGCAGATCAGATTCTTGTGATCCATTAGGTTATCACTGGCTGATCTTCAGGAAATGGCCAAGCCTTTCTTCCTAGTCTATCTTAGTCTGGAAGCTAAACTGAAATCTGTTCAACATGACAACAATACATTCAATCCTCCAGTGACAGGTGATGGACTCATATGAAATGCACTGGCTAGGAATTAAACCCAGGTCTCCTGCATCAAAGGTAAGAATTCTACCACTAAGCCCACCACTGCCTCATTCTTTATACATACACGTTGCTACTGAGTCAATTCTCACTTGTAGCAGGTGTTTAATAAAATTGTTATCTCATTGAAATACCAAAATAATTATATAATTGCTCTGGGAAATCCATGGTTATTGTGGGTGTTCATTAAATGCATAAAATGTTACTTGACTTTCAGAAAAAATAGAACCAGAGCTTTGGAAAGGTTAAAAAAGGTAGGGGAAGGGACGGGCATCCCCTCACAGAAGGGTCACAAGGAAAAGACATGGCAGTCAGGGTGCAGGATAGCACTGATGAAACATAAAGCTTTTCCTAATGTTTCCTCCCCCACTAGCATGACCCCAATTCTACCATACAAATCCAGCTAGACCATAGCATGTACATTGGTACAGATAAGAGCTCGCAACACAGGGAATCTGGGACAAATAAACCCCTCAGGACCAATAATGAGAGTAGTGATACCAGAAAGGGAAGGGGAAGGTAGGGAAGAAAGTGGGAACCAATCACAATGATCTATATACAACCCCGTCCCAGGGGGATGGACAATAGGAAAGTGGGTGAAGGGAGACAGTGGTCAGTTTAAGATATGAAGAAAAAAAATTATAAATTATCAAGGTTCATGGTGGGGGGGGCACAATGAGCAGATACCAAGGGCTCAAATAGAAAGAAAATGATGACAACCTATGTACAAATGTGCTTGATAAAATGGATGTATGCATGGATTGTGAGAAGAACTATAAGAGCTCCCAATAAAATGATTTTTAAAAAGGAGGGAGGCAACTCTGCTTTAAACTTTTTTTTTTAAATCATTTTATTAGGGGCTCATACAACGCTTATCACAATCCATACATACATCAATTGTGTAAAGCGCATTTGTACATTCATTGCCCTCATCATTCTCAAAACATTTCCTCTCCACTTACTGCTTTAAACTTTTGCTTTGTCGAAATATTTATTTGAAAATATACTTTCAAATTTATTTATTTATTTTAAATGTCAAGACTAACCCTTGAGTAATACAGAACTCTACACAAAGTCAATCCATGTCTGAGAAAGAAAGAAGAAATTGTCACCCTACCTGAGTCCATTTTTTGGTGCTATTCTGCATCTGAATAGCTGCAATACAGCTGAATAGCTTTTCTGACGTAATATCTTCCGGTAACTTCGTTAAAAACTGGGCTATATGAATAAAGTCCATTTGCAGGAGGATGTCTTCATATAATCGAAGGATTCCTAATCCAGTCCTAAATAAAAATTCCTCCCCATCTCTGCAGAATACATCCCAGACTCGGCAGGCTAGATCAAGTGGTAATGATTTGCTATACAATGTGAAGATCCTAAAATTAGGGAGAAAAATACGCATTGAAATTTTTCATTCATTTATTCACTCACTTATGAAGCTTCTCTCTGAAACCACCAGCAGTTAATTAGAAATAACAAGGCAATAAGTTATGGCTCCTTTCCTCAACGAAAATAGTGGGAAATGAACAATAAGCAAAATTATTTTAATTTATAACCTTACGTAGAGGTAGGGCTTAATACAAATAAGTGGCAGAATAGACTGGATGAAAGGTTCAGATTCTGAAACCACAATGCCTGTGTTTGAAACCTGGATTTGTCATTTACTGATAGTGTTACTGTGAACAAGTTTTTCATCCTTTTTGTGTTGTTCTTTTATCAATAAAATAAGTGTAATATTACTACCTACCTCAGGATTGTTTTGAAAATTAAAGGAGTTAATAAATGTGTTTAGAACAGTGTCTGGCACATAAAGGCTACGTATTATCATTATTGTATGAGGAGCGCAGCACCATCTTTTAGTACTAACAGAAATCCAAAGTCTAACTTCTTTCCTTTTTTATCCTCTTCCACAGGCATCCATTTCACTTTTTCTCCCCATTGAGCTTTACACACTACTTCTTTTGGAGCAGGTAAGTTCTCCAACAATATCTTACCCCCTTTCCTGACATGCATGGTCATGCGACTCTGTATTTGGTGGTGTTTTTTTTTAATCATTCCTTTGGAGGAACCTGGGGGGGGGGGGCGGGTGTTCTTAAAGGATTTATCTTTAAGGTGCCTTGGCAAAAGAAAAAAAGTTAAAGTTTTTTAATTTAGAGTGCGTTTTTAAGGTAGTGCTGGGGGGTAGGGGAAAGTCTAAAGGTTCTCTTGCCCCTCCCACAATACCCTTACTCTTCCTGTTGAAATGATTCTGCAATTTGTATATAATGAACTAAACAGACTCAATGAAACAAAAATCAAAGATCCATGCTACTCCTTAAATTACAAATACATATTTAGTTGCATAACAATTAAGTACTCTTAGTAGAATACTAACTCACTGTACAAAACAAGAAAGGGCATAAGCAGTGTCTACATGCAGTTTCTCGTACCACTGGTCACTCATTAGTTCTATCCTGCTCGCCATGTATCAGTTTCGATGCTGATGTGCCCCATCTTAGTCCTAACGACTAACAACTGGAGTTTGTTATGTTGTAGAATCAGACTTTGATCTTGGTTCTCCGCCAGGTCTCATGATGTAACCTCTTTCTCCTCTCTACTGTCTTGGGTCCCTCCCTCTAATTGTTTTTAGTGTGGATGGAAGAGAATACATTGAGAGTCCACTAAAAGGAATATATTGAAAAATGAATTAGTTTTTTAAAAAAAACTAAATAAAAGAAGCCCAAGCAACTGGGAATATATCTGCTTTTATCAAAGCCATTAGGTACTTATTTACTTAGTATATAGAAGCTTAATATCATTTCTATAAACCCTTTACAGGATTTCAATTTAAGTTTAAATACTCCGTACGCACTCTTACACAACCTATCTTAAGATTAACTGCTATATTTCGCTAGCAAAATTCACCCCTATTTATAATCAACAGGCAAATCGAAGTTTTTAGGAAAATCTGCAGATTTAACTCCTTAGGCAAACTCTGAATGTTAATACATAAGAGCTGGGGTTGAAAGGTCAAAAAGACATTTGGGCTAAATAAATTATCATTTCTCCCTCAGGAAACGGAATAAAAAGTTGAAGTAATAAAAATAAAAAGCCTCTGTAAAGAAGCACTATTATAATGAGCATAGGGCTTTATCTATTACAATGACCATCAGCCCTTGTGTATTAGGAATAAAGAATAGCAACCCACTCATGTTGAGAGCTTAGTGTGGGCAAGGAAACTAAATGAAATAATCCATGTAAAACCATCTCACTACAGTTCAGGCTAAAGATATTATGTCTATTTTATAAATAAACTGAAATGCAAACCAAAAGACTCTGATTTCAACCCAGATTCCATGTTCTTTAATAAAATCCTCTTTTTTAAAAAGTGGGAGGCTTCTCTACTAGTAAGGGAAACAAAAGCAAGCTCACTACCATGGAGTTGACCCTGACTTACAGGCACCACACAAGACAGAGCAGAACTGCCCTGTGGGTTCCCAAGACCGTAACTCTTCTTTTCTTCCGACTGTAACACTTTATGGGAGTAGAAAGCCTCCTCTTTCTCCCACTTTGTAAGGAAAGGGTCTTCTAAATGCATGGCCCTGGACAGGAGATTTACTCTAATAGTTCCTAAAATGCATAAAAGTTTATATTTTAATTCCTTTCAATATGTGCTATATATGTCATGACTTACCAGTCTATCAAGTATATGTCAGGTGTAAGATTGTAAGACTTGAAATGAAGAAACAGTTTGGAGAGATTTTCTTCAAAGAATACCTCAAATGTTGCAAAATATTTCAACATCTACAGAGAGGAAGAAATGTCAATAAAAATTATTGGAGCATGTACTCTAAATATATAAATATTAAATCCTTAAATCAATCATTAAAAGAAAATCTTGTTTAGGAGTGCTTTCAGAATCTTCTCATCAACCATTCATAAAACTATAATTCAATGAAAAGTTTATATTAGATCACATTATTGTATGCCTGTGCTAAAATTGAGTTCAGATGACAGAAGTCTATAGTTAGGGGAAACATGATCCACTCCAAATGTCCATACCATGCTGTGATCCACACGGAAAAAGGCCAACTGGCACGGCTTATTCAGGAGATTTGCAAATGCAATGAAGGCATCTGCCTCTTCCAAATTGAGAATGAGTACTGCTGCAATGAAGGACATCCCTTGGACCTTAAAAAGGAAAAGAAGACAAACATGCTTACAATAGGGATTTTATAGTTTATTTGCTTGTAGTATCGAAACATTGCAGTGACATCTAAAAGCAGAATCAGCCATACATACTTTCTTCTAATTGGCCATACATAAAAGTAAAAATGGATAATCTAGTGACTATAACGTCTGCCTAATTTTACATTTCTTTTTTCAAGTGGTATGGCTTTAAGAAGTATTAGGAATTATTTTTTTACTAAGGAAAAATATATCAGCTTTGACTTGCTACAAAAGCACCTCAGGGTGTTTTGCTCTAGTTTTCATTCAAGCTGAATGTTCTCACCATAGAATTCAGAATCACAAAGTTTGGTCAAAATCAGGTGACTGTTTTCACTATTACAACAAATCTGTCTGAGGTAAAAATGAGAAACTAAGAATAAGGGGAAACTGAAAAGTCCTACTAAAATTCCAGAAAGAAGAAATAGTGTAGGGTTGAAAGAGTCAGGTTAGATCCCTGCAGAAGCAGAAAGGAGAAACAAAGGACAAGCATTTTAAGACGGGAAAGACACTAGAGCAAAGGCACAGTAATAGAGTAACAGGACAAGTCTGCACAGTAGCACAAGATTCATAATAGGAATAATGTAAAAACTTTGGCAAAGTAGGATGTACTTATAACTGTGGAAGGCTTTGAATAAAAAGCTAAGCTATATAGAGGCTTGTTTCTGGGTTATGGATAGTTAGTTAACATTTCTGAGCAGGGAAGTGAAATGAAATATTGTTCTAGGAACATTCATTCTTTCATTAAAAAAACAAACTTTATAAGGTAACACATACTTCTAGTAGAGGATTATATATTGGACTCTTTGTAGCCAAATGTTTTGAAAAAGCTGCTTAAAATCACTATCTGGTTTTTTGTTTTTCAATTCCCTTTTATTCTAATTCAAAGGGTGGCAGTTTGAACACACTCCATGGTCTAGTGAGTTACTTCCATAAAGATTAAAACAAAACTCCCTGTCTTCAAATCTATTCCATCTCCCAGCAACTCACATTGACACTGCAGGACAGAACAGAACTCCCCTTTGGGTTTCTGAGGCAATAACATTTTACAGGAGCGGATCTCATTTTTCTCCCGCGAAGCACTGGTGGGGGTTTGAACTGCTGATCTTGATGTTTTAACAGTCCAAAGCGTAACCCACTACACCGCCCAGAAAACTCCTTGTAGTAGTTCTACTCTGACACACATGGGGTGACCATTATTCAAAACGAACAACAGCAATGGGTTCTGGGTGGTTGTTTTTTTCCACTCTTTAACATACATGGGAGTACCCCCCCAAAACCAGGAAGTGTGCTGAATGGAAAGAACTGGCATAGTACACATTTTTCTCCATTAGGTGAGCAACCAACAACTCGCTCTGAGTTAGACCACCCACTAGCAGCGCCTGGGTGCTGTCTGTTCTCTCTGGTCACAGTAAATTTTTTCGTAAAAGCAGTTATACTCCAACCTCATTTTTTGTGATGGCTGATTTAAGAGAACAGCACTGCAGCTGTGAAATTTTGTTTCCTGCTTGGGAACAATGCCTCAGAAATTGTAGTAATGCTGAACACAGTTTACAAGGACAGCACTATGGGAAAAACTCAAGTGTTAGAGTGGTTTTCTTGTTTCAAAAAAGGTGAAATGTCCCTTGATGACAAACCTCATTCTGGACGTCTGTCAACTTCCTGAACGGGCAAAAATGTTGACTAGTAGTTCATTTGGAGTTCATTCCACAAGGTCATATTGTTAATCAAGCTTTCTATTCAGAGGTTCTGAAAGGATTGTGGAACAGTGTGCAACAAACAAAAAAGGTCTGATTTGTGGTAGACAGGGTCCTGATTTTGCCACCACATCAATGTACCTGCTCACACAGCCATCTCAGTGCACCAGTTTTTGGTAAAAAACATGCCTCTCTTGCTCCACGCACCTTACTCACCTAACCTCACTCCATGCAACTTCTTTTTGTGTCCGTAAATGCAGAGGGGCATGAAAGGACAGAAATTTGACTACAAAGACGAGATGGGAAAAAAACGAGGGAGGTGCTGTCACCCACTCAAACAGATGAGTTTAAAAAATGTTTCCAAGAATGGAATGGCAGATTTGACATATGTTTTAAGTGTAATAGAGAGTACTTTCAAGGTGATAAGGTTGTTTTGTAAAAAAATTTAAATACACAACTTAAAAAAAAATTCCGGTCTCTTTTGGTACCCCCTCATATATCATGCCCTGGTGGTGTAGTGGTTACATGTTGGGCTGTTAACCACTCATCAGGAGGAAAACTATGCTTTCTACTTTCATTAACAGTTATAATCTCAACCACGCCTTCTTGAAGCCCTGATCCTCATTGCTTCCACTGGCTCCGGGCTCCACCCACCACTTCTACTGGACATGGACCCTAATTGCTCCTGTGCTACCAGAGGCACCGGCACCTGCGGCGGCTCCTGCAAATGCAGAGTGCAAATGCACGTCCTGCAAAAAAAGCTGCTGCTCCTGCTGCCCTGCTGCCTGTGCCAAGTATGCCCAGGGCTGCATCTGCAAAGGAGCATCGCACAAGTGCAGCTGCTGCGCCTGGTGGGGAGAGCCCTGCCCAGCTGTCAATAGAGCCCCACCTGCACAAAGCCGGAGTTTTCTTTTTTCATACAACCCTAGATGTTTCCTACAATCTTTTTTCTACAAAATATATGAAAGATGGTAACAAAAGTTGGTGACTTAAAGAAAAAAAAAGTTATAATCTCAGAAACCTACAAGGGACAGTTCTGTCCTAAACAGAATCGACGAGATGGCAAGGAGTTAACATACAGCTGTTTGACACTTGAAGCTTCTCTTGCTGGGATCATCAACGATACTTTAGTGCAAACACCAGTTGGCGCTTTCTAAACTTTGTAGTAGAATTTCCTTAGTATTTGTTAAATTTTTCCATTTTCTTGTCTTTATTATTTTAAATTGTAAATTAAGGGGGGGTGTTTAGATTTCAAGCCGTCAACTTTGCATTCAACACTTCAAACCACTCAACTGCTCCCCGCCATATTTTACCCCATTCTATCTATGTAATATGCCTAAGAAAGCCACTGCTCTCACAGTAGCATTTGAACTTGTAGTCCACACCCAATCCAAAACGTACTATTACTCTGAAGAATGAAACCTAAACAAAGGAATAATTCTAAATATTGGTTTGGTGAATGCTTCTGGCTTCCTGTCATTTATACGAGTATATATCTAAAACCGAATCCCATTACACTCAGATGACAGAACCAAGAGCAATAACAATTTTCATTTAGTGACCTCTTCCACACCACACCGGTTATCAATGAGTACCAGCCCCAGAGAGAGTCCCAGAAGACCAATAGCGAGACTGGTACAAGGATACATACGGTTCCTTTAAATGTAACTAGAATGTAGCCAAGATTACAATTTTTTTTCAAGACACCCTGAATAAAATCCACAGATAAAACCTTTATGTGACTTAGATATTCAGGATGTGTTATTTATTAAGGAAATAGCCCTGGTGGTTGAAAGCACTTAGTACATAGCTACTGAAGAAATGGGTCAGCTGTTTAAACCCAGCAGCTGCTCAATGAGAAAGATGTACCAGGCTGCTTCTATACAGTTTACAACTTGGGACACCCTGTAAGGGAGTTCTACCCTGTCCTAAAATGATCACTATAAGGCGTAATTGACTCAAGGGCTTTTGTTTTAGATTCCTTCATTAAGGCAGCTAAAAATCTATGTTATCAAATCATATCTTGATACATATCCTCCAGTACAGTTTATAATAAGCAAAGATATGCAGCTCCAGGTAAAATATGTATTAAGAGCATACAATGCCCCCAATACAATAAGAACATATTATAAAAATTCTCTTTGATAAAAGTATAGTAACAAAAATAAATAACAATAAAAAGTGTAATAACAGCAACAGTATTCTAATTTTTCTAACTTTTTTGGTATATATCAGGATAAACAAGTATAAGTATAATAAGTGTAAGTGATTGGTTTTAATTTTACTAAAGCCTTAGAAACAGGAAATTAATGATTTCAATGATTGGCAACAAATGTTTTTAAAATTCAAGCAGCCAAGTCTCTATTTTCAATAAAATTGAAGGAGGACCTAATTAAGTTATCACATAAGATCCTTTACACTTTTAAAAATTCTGTATTTATCAATTATTTACCTGGTTCTCTAATACACTTGCGGTTTTGATCAGTAGTATATTAATAAATATGTCACAAATCAGAAGAAAATCTTTAAATATTTATAACATTATGAGCATTAGGAATAAGACCAGTTTTAAAATTTTAATTTCCACTTGTTATTTGCGGAGTTTCTGGGTGGCATAAAAAGTTAAGTGTTCAGCTAATAATTGTAAAGTTAACAATTCAAACACACTCAGAGTTGCCTAGGAAGAGGTCTGGATCATCTGAGTTCAAAGTCACAGCCACTGAAATCCCGTACGTACAGCTGTGCTCTGCATAGGTAGGGCTGCCATGAATTTGAACCCAACTTGATGGCAACTGGTACTAGTATAATTTGTAACAAAAGTACAATAAGGGATCACCAAAATATATTCAAGCAAAAATTATTAAAATAAAATTTTGTAAAACTAAAATAACATAAAAGTTTGTGAGAGCAATGAAAAGAAATATGCATACAACTTAAAAGAAAAATATTAATCAAGAGCTTTACATGTACTTCTATTAAATGAGTGGTCAATATGAAATCACTATAGTATTTAATTCCATAGGGTACTTTTAAAAATTTGAAATGTGTTTTATTTTTAAATGTCACTATTTTAAAAGTACTAAAAATTAAACCCTTTGCAATGATTTAATCTTATAAAAAATTAAAATGTCAACTTAAAAATGTGAAGGAGAAACTTAGTTTTACAACTAATTTACAGAATTATTAAGTAAGAGAGTTGGAAGACAGTCAAGAGGACTATCTAAATTTAGTCTTTAATTGTGCAACCTCTCCCTCCTCCTGCACTTAGCATTTCCCCTGCCTTACCATGCTTTCCTGAGCACGGTTTCTCCTCTTAGGGAGACCCACTGAAAGACCAGCAGTTTGAAGCCCCCGCTTCTCCTTGGGAGAAAAATAAGGCAATGTGCTTCCTTAAAGATCTCCAGACTGGAAAATCTGACGGAGGAATTCAACTCTATCTAATGGGGTCACCACAAGTCGTCTTCAACTCAACAGTAGTGGATTGGGTTTACTAGTTTTTGTTTTTTAATTTTTGTTTTTATGTTTGTCATTTGTCTATACCAACTTCTAAATTCTAAGCACCACCAGGGAGAAAATTTTCATTTGTTTACTCAGGTATCACATGTGCCTACCATAATGCCTGGGGTACATAAGGGGACTTCAAAATCCTTGCAGAAAGATGAAATAAAAAGATAACGGAAGTTTTCCATGAACTTTTTGAAGCTTCTTCATATAGTAATAAATACACAATAAATATTTGTTGGATACAGGAATGAATGAAAACCAATGAAGGACATGGAAGAAGCACACCAGCCTTTGTGATCATGAGGTGCTGAAGGGATCAGTTATCAGGCATCAAAGAACAAAAAATCATATCATTGTTTGCTCACCTTCCCAACACAATCTCTAAAGACAAATGTGTGCATAAGCAAATGTGGTGAAGAAAGCTGATGGTGCCTGGCTATCAAAAGATATAACATCTGGGGCCTTAAAGACTTGAAGGTAAATAAGCTCAGAAGCAACAAAGCCCACATGGAAGAAGCACACCAGTCTGTGTGATCACGAGGTGTGGAAAGGATGAGGTATCAGGCATCAAAGAACAAAAAATCATATCATTGTGAATGATGGGGAGTGCGGAGTGGGGACCCAAAGCCCATCTGTAAGCAACTGGACATCCCCTTACAGAAGGGTGACGAGGAGGAGACGAGCCCGTCAGGGTGTAGGGTAGCAATGATGATATATACAACTTTCCTCTAGTTCTTAAATGCTTCCTCCCCACCACCCCTCTATCATGATCCCAATTCTGCCTTACAAATCTAGATAGACCAGAGGTTGTACACGGGTACAGACAAGAACTGGAAACACAGGGAATCCAAGACAGATGATCCCTTCAGGACTAGTGGTGAGAGTGGAGGTACTGGGAGGGTGGAGGGAAGGTGGGGTAGAAAGGGGGAGGATCTACATCCCTCCATCCCTGGGGGATGGACAACAGGAAAGTGGGTGAAGGGAGACGTTGGCCAGTGTACGATCTTACAAAATAATAATTAATTTATAAATTATCAAGGGTTCATGAAGGAGTGGGGAGCGGGGAGGGAGGGGAAAAATGATGAGCTGATACCAAGGGCTCAAGTAGAAACAAAAGTTTTGAGAATGATGATGGCACCAGATATACGAAGTGCTTGACACAATGGATGGACGTATGGATTGTGATAAGAGTTGTATGTGCCCCGAATTAAAGTGATTAAAAAAATAATTTAAAAAAGCGAAAACCAATGAAGGAACACACAAGAGAACAAAGAGTTGTACCAGACAGCCAGCCTATAGGGAGCTATCTAAATGTTCTATTTTAAGATAAAAGTGAAAAGATAAAGGTTTGATGACTTCTAGGTAAACACACAAAAAATTAAATATATGATTTTTCCTTGTTTCCACTCAAAACCCAACTAAATGAAAGTAAAGAAAAAAAGTAAACATTAACCTAGAACAAAGGAAATGGGAGAGAAGACACAAAATAGATTAAAAAAATATCAATAGCATTTTGAAAATTTTAACTTATAAACTCCTAGCAGGAGATTGGAAGATTGCTCTCTGAGTTAATTAGTAGACTCATGAAAAGAGAGACAGAAACAGATATTTGGGAAATTAAGGCATTCTGATAAAAGTACAGAAAATATTTTTATTTGAGGAAAAAACAAATAGATTGAAATAAATACTTACATAACCAACATCAGGTCTGTAACAGGTATATGCCCCTAAGATACTATGTAAGACATCATGATATGGGCCACCCTTAAGAAAAAAATGAAATTTGGAACTACATAATCATTAATTCTTAATCAAATAAACAAATTCTAATTATATTGTCAAGATATTATCTACAGTATTAATAAAAGTGATCTAACCTTGAAAAAAAATAAGCCATACAAATTTATCTGATGAATCTCAATGCCATCGAGATGAAGTTGACTCACAGTGACCGTACAGGACAGGGTCAAACTGCCCCTCTGGCTTTCCAAAGCAGCAACTCTTTACAGTCACAGAAAGCTCATCTTCCGCTGCTGAGCTTCCTTTCAGCGGCCCAGCTCGTAACCACTGTGCTACCAGTTCCCTGATTAATACAATTTACATCGTTTTCATGTACTCTAAAGGTGTCTATGTATTTACTATAGATGGTTTCCTTTATATGATAGAATTTAAACAAAAGAAAACCACCATGCTACACTAAATTAAAACTTTAATTCTAACAGTAAAAATTATTTCATTTTATATCAAACTAAAGATATGAATTCTATGTGTAAAGTACATTTAAATGCAATCTTTTATGCTATAAAGTTTATAATAGCATCAGTAAAAAATAAACAAAAACCAAAAACATTTCATTCTACTTGAATGGCAATTCTATACAGTAGGTAGGTGAGTGAAAATATTTAAGTTTTAGGACAAAGCTCTTCATATTCTAATGATTGGCTAAGTAAAATAAAAAAATAAAAAAATTCATTCAGTACCTACTATATAAAAGGCATATTGCTATGCTAACGGCAATGTCCATGAAATAATGTAATAAAGATTCCTTTAATTATTTTCCTACTATCTTCACTTTTTATATAAAGCTCTTTAATTTTTATAATTTTGTCCTTTTCTTATTATAACTGTGCATTTTGAGATTTTTTTACAAAAACAGTGATAAGTTGGTTAGAAATCCTCACCTTCTGAAAGATGAAGAGAGATGGGAATGTACGAGATATGTCCAGCTTAATTAATTCCAGACTGGCCTCCCGGTCAGCAACAGGTACACCTGCATTTGCCAAGCAGATAAAATTAAAATGATTACTTATCTGTCACAAAGTAAGCCCTGTCAACATAAAAATTATCATTTAGGATATGTGTTATTTAAGGAAAGTTAAAAGCTGGATAATCGGGAAATTTTAAGAAATTTCACATAGCTTTTATAGAAATTAGAGTTTCTTAAATGAAGAAAATAGCTAATCACTTATAAGTTATAGAGTGAAAGATTTCTGCTTCCAAGTTTGACAGAATCTTAAAATGCTCCTGCCATACCTAGGAAAAGACAAATTACAAATAAAATTTTAAAAGTCATTAGAGTGCTGTGGACACAGAAAGATCTAGAGGATTTAAATCCTAGAAAAGGAGGGAACCGATTACAAGGAACTATATGTGACCTTCTCCCTGGGGGACAGACAACCGAAAAGTGAGTGAAGGGAGACGTCGGACAGGGCAAGATATGACAAAATACCAATTTATAAACTATCAAGGGCTCAAGAGGGAGGGGGGAGCGGTAAGGGAGGGGGAAAATGAGGACCTAATGTCGGGGGTTTAAGTGGAGAGAAAATGTTTTGAGAATGATGTACAAATGCGCTTTACACAATTGATGTGTGTATGGATTGCGATAACAGTTATATGAGCCCCTAATAAAATGTTAAAAAATAATAATAAAAAATAAATCCTAGAAAAGGAGTAACCTTTTTGGTTTAGGATTGGATTTGCCAGAGATAAAGGTACTCTGGGGGAAAAAAAAAACTAGAATCATTTTTCATGGCCAAGCAGAGCTGGTGTGATAGACAAAACTGTGGAGGAATAAACAAAACAAAACATCTCTGGAGGAACACTGAATGTACATGTGTGTCTGGTTTTCCCCTACAGAACTTTTAAAATAGTCCAAGAGAATAGGCTGGAAAGGCAGAAATAAACTAAAACCATTCAAAGATAATTTCACTGGAGGAAGAGGCCTAAATCAAAGCAGAACGGTCCTTCTTATCAAGAACTTTGAAACCAGAGGCGAACTAAGTTGATTTAAAGCTTTAACATTGCCCCAACCTAGTTCAATTACTGACAGGATTGAAGTGATCAAATAAATGTCTAATAGGAAAGAGCATGCTCTTATGGGAGGAGACATCAACTCAGTCTCTACAATTTCTTTTATACACAATATCTGGCATGAAAACTTTATGATATGCAAAGAAGAAAATGTGCATCTACTGTGATCATGGAAAAACCTAGTCAATACATCCTACAGATGACTAGGTTTTAGAACTAACAAGTCAAGAACATTAACGTTATAAATATGTTAAAATAGAAGATGAGAAAAAAATTAGAGAATGAAGAATTTGAACAGAAATCGTTAACTACAGAGAACTAAGTAAACATCCTACAATTAAAAAGTACATATAAAAGTTATGTTAACATTCTACTATTATCTACTACAGCATAAAGATAAGGCTTTCTACTCCCGTAAAGAGTTACAGTCCTGGAAAACTCACAGGGTCAATTCTACTCTGTCTTATAGGGTTGCTATGACTTGGCAATGACATGATGGCGGTGAATTTTCAGTATAATCTATTACGTATGCAACAGCAGTATGAAAAAGGTTGGACTATTGTAAGAATCTCCAAAACGTGACATAGACAGGAACTGATCACATGCTGTTGCTCAACAGAGTTGGCATAAACCTTTAATTTGTAAATAATAAAAAAGATACTACATGTGAAGAACAATGTTGAGCACAATAAAGTTAAAGTATGCATATATAGACCATATTTTGTTTCTCCATTCATCTACTGATGAACATTTTAGTTCATCCTATGGTTGCTGTAAAAGTATTGCTGTGACTGTTCCATGTTTCTGTTCAAATTCATTCTTTCACTTCTGGGTATATACCTACAATTGGATTGCAGGGTCCATATAGTAGCTCTACATACAATTTTTTTTGAAGTCATCAAGATTAGAGAACAGTTTACTAATAATCTGAAATATGTAGATGACACAGCTTTGCCTAAGAAGAGTCGGGAGTACTGGAGACACGAACTGATCTAGATCAAAGACCAAACCTTTAATATAGATTATATTCAACATAAAACAAAAAACAAACTTGGACTCAGAGTGACCCTACAGTGCAGAATAGAACTGTCCCTTTGGGTTTCCGAAACTTTAAATTTTTATAAGAGCAAACAGTTTCGTCTTTCTCCCGCAGAACCACAGATGGGTTCAAGCTACTGACCTTGTGGTTACCAGTTCAATCCGTAGCAAACTACAGCACCCGGGCTTCTTCCCACCCGGCTCCTCAACATAAAGAAAACAAAAATCCTCACAACGGGCCAAAAAGCAACACTACAATAAATAGAGAAAAGACTGAAATTTTCAAGGATTTAAGTTTACTTGGGTTTACAATTTACACCCTTGAAAGAAAAATAGCAGTGAATAAAAAAACACTAAAAAACCCCTATGATATTGGGAAAATCTGCTGCATAAGAACCTCTTAAAGTGTTGAAAACAAAGATATCAACTTGAGTACTAATGGTGTGCCTGAGCCAACCCAGAGCTTTTCAATAGCCTCGTCTGCATGCAAACGCTTGACAATGAATAAAGGAGAGCCAAAGAAAATCGATGTGTTTGAATTATGGTGCCAGCAAAAATTACTGAACATACCACCATGGCCTGACACAATTAACAAATGTGTCTTAGGAAAAATATAGTCAGAATCCTCCTTGTGGGAAACTGACACCCAGGAAGAGAGTGTATGCAGTCAAACTCTCAACATTCATAGGTTAAGGAGTCAGGGAGGCCAAGGATCCCGTGGAGGAAACCTTCCCTTCCCGTTTGTGGGTTAGAGAAGTGTACCACTCACATTCTCCTAAGTAAAAGTTATTCCCCTCGAGGTCCCCCATAACAATGCCAAATTTAGGGTGCTGTTTGCAAACACATGGTCAAGTACTACACTCTCTAAGGTCAACTACTTTAAGACTGTCTACCTGAAGAATGTTTGCCATTTAATGCAATCAGGCCCTATTGTCTGCCCCACTCCCTTCTGAAAAGGATAATAGATTGTTCCCCTAGAGAAGATCTCCCAGGCACCTAAGGTCAAGTCAACTCAGAGACGACCAAGGTTAGGCTGCCATCTTGACTCTAGAGTCTCCACCCATCTTGTTACGTATGCCTCTAGTGCGGTGGTTCTCAACCTTCCTAAGGCTGCAACCCTTTAATACAGTCCCTCATGTTGTAGTAACCCTCCAACCATAACATTATTTTCATAACTGTAATTTTGCTACTATTAGGAATCAGGAGACCCCTGTGAAAGTGTTGTTCAACCCCCAAAAGGGTGACAACTCACAGGTTGAGAACCACTGCTCTACTGCCTCCCCTACCTATTGCATGTACACCCCTAGCCTGTCCCTCTCCTGTCACACATATGCCTCTAATACAAACCCTTCCTGTTATGTATGAGCTTACCATGGCTTGCTTGCCCAAGATTATGTAAGTCTGTGAGTCAATAAAGTACAACCTCATTCTGGTTCCGGTCATCATGGAGAGGTGAGCACTTGCATTCTTTGTCTTGTCTGATGTCTCTTTAATTCACCCCATAAATTACACAAACACCCCTTGGACCCATTTGGTTATGGGGAGGCTGGTCCCCCACACCTCCTTAGAAGGCAGGATGTCAATTTCATCTCATGAATTTTGGACAGGTTATCAGAAGGAACCAGTCCCTGGAAAAGGGCATCATGCTTGGTAGAGGATCAGCAAGAATAGATAAGCTCTTCAACAAGATAGAATGACACAGTGGATATAACAGCAGACTTAAAACATATGAACCACTGTGAGGATGATGCAGGACTGGGTAAAGTTTCATCCTTTAAATGTTAAGACAGCTATGAGTTAGAGGCAACTAAACAGCACTTAACAAGAACTTTCTAAGAAATAGAGTAAATGCTGAAAAGTTTATGTTGTTGGGCACTCACTGTTCAAGTCAATTTCAACTCATAGCAACCCCATGAGGCAAAACAGAACGACCCAAATAGGTTTTGTAGGCTGTAATCGTTACAAAAACAAATCACCAGGTCTTTCCCTCAGGAGTTGCTAGGTGCATTCAAACCATCAACCTTTTGTTTGGCAGCTGAGCACCTAACCATTGTGCTAGCAAGACTCCTTGGCAGACAAATGGCTACCTATTATTCAAGAACAATAGGTGGCTGAATAAAGTTAGTTAAATTTAATAAACTAGGAGTCCTGGTGCAAGTGTTGGACTGCTAATGACAAGGTCAGTGGTTCAAAACCACCAGCTACTTCCCAGGATAAAGATGAGTTTATATTCTGCCATAAAGATTTATTGCCTCAGAAACCCTGTATCGGGTCACTATGAATTGGAATCTACTCAGTGGCAGTGTTTGAGTTTTACTTTTGATAGGATGATACAAAGATTTCCTCCCTGAAATTATTAGAGGAAAAAAATTGATGTCAGTGGAAGGAAAAGCAGAAACTATGAGTAGATTATTTTAACAACTGGCACAGGTGTGATAAGAATTCTAAGTAATATATCTCAGAGTGCATGAAAGTTAGTTGGGAAGGGTAGAAGATAGGAAGCCATGGATGGGACATGAAGCCATCTATTTTTGGCTTAAATAAGAATTTAGTCTAAAGCTATCTCATCCTATTAGCATTACTGCTATGACTGAAATCCCATGTTCTAGAGTCAAACAACCTGGGTTTATATTCCAGCTTCACTGCTTATGAATTATTTAACCACTTTGAGCCTCCATTTTCTTTTATATTAATTCACATTAACACTTACTATTAAGATTAAATGAGACTAATAATGAAAAGCAGCCCCCGTGGAGCAGTAGAGTGGGTTAATTGGACTGTTAACCACAGGTCAGCGGTTCAAACCCACCAGCCACGCCATGCAAGTAAAAATGAGGCTGTCTGCTCCTCTAAAGATTCACAGTCTCGAAACCCTAAGACGTTCTACTTTGGCTGCCAGACAGGAAGCCTGTGAGTGAAACGGACTCTGTGGCAAGTGTGGTTTTGGTTTCATGTATATAAAGCAATTGCTACAGTTCTTGACACATAGTATGAAATTGTATGGCCAGATCAATACCAGGCGGCTTCTAGCAGCAAGTGACCTTGAATTTCCCACACACACCTGGGAACTGATCAGAGCTGGCTATGTAATCTGTCAGAATCTTTGCAAGTTTTTTTCTTTCTTTTACTCATGGCCCTTTTGGCTCAGTGCCCGCTTGGTTCTCGCCTGCCGCTCTGCACCCTGCACCGGCATGGCCCGATTGGCTCAGTGCCCGCCTTGCTCTCCACCCTCCACTCTGCACGACCCATTTGGCTGTGTCCACTTTGTTCTTGGCCCGCCGCTCTGCACCCGGCACCAGCAGGGCCCGTTTGGCTCAATGCCTGCTTTGTTCTCGCCCACCGTTCTGCACCCGACACGAATACACCCAGAACCAGGAAGACATCTTACATTCCAGAAACCCGGACATACCTCTCCATATATAAGCATCACCCCTGTACCCTGCAGTGCGACTCCCCCAGACTCCCCGGACGTTGTGGACTGTGGGACTTCTTCGCCCAGGCTGGGTTTTTTCTCCCTAATAAAGCCTGTGTGTTCTAATTCAACTGATTTGGTCTCAGAAGCTGGATTCTCATCCTGAAATTTTTATTATATATAAATACATTTTTTGGAAAAAAAACAAGAAAACACACCTTCTACATCGTTTTCTGAACTTGTTTCACTGAAGCTTTTCCATCGCTCCTTTGCTCTTGAGAGGAAAATTTCATAAAGCTCTAGAAACAAAATTAAAAAGATAAAAACTCATAAAAAATCAATCCCTATATGTAGACATTAGCTTTCAGTTGTTACCTATGATTATGTCAGGTATCCTTATTGCTGTAGGCAGAAAAAATGTGGCAAATTCAAACCCCTGCTTTACCGAAATTATTGATTATGCAACTAGACAGTAACAAAAATACTGCAGAGTCATCATCTAAGTAGCGTCAATATGAAATATTTATTGGGCTTCAAAGACTTTGTGGAAAATTACATAATCTTTAATTCCACTTTCCCATGAGTTTTTTGAAGCCCCTTATACTTTCTCCTCCCATAGGAGTTGCAGTCTCAGAAACTCATGAGTCGGAATCAACTTAATGGCAGTGGACTTGTCTATTTGGGTTATATATTATACAAGGCAGAAAGAGGTGCTTTTGCTAAAGGAGTATCTATGTGGGGCAGCAGAAACAAATTTTGGAATCAGTGAGATCTAGAATCAAATTTCCTGTGCTCCTTCATGCTCTCTCTCTTACTCCTCCCTCCCTTTGGAACTTTGGGAAAGTTACCTAACCACTGTGGAACTCAGCTTTCTTCATCTGTAAACTGAAGAAAAATACACCTGCTCATGGGGTTGCTCATAATTACATAATTTACATAGAGCTTCAGGCACTCTGTAGCTACTTAACCAGTAGTTCTTGCTTGTTTTTTCTACATAAATGAGTTTTTCCATTGTTACATTGCTACCCAAAGCTACCTATATTTCATACAGATTTTGCCTATCCTTGTCTCTAATTTAAATACTCAATTACTTTTTGAGACTACTACTGTTGTATACACACACAAAAAGAGACAAGAACTCACTGCCATCAAGACAATTCTGATTCATAAAAACTCTATAGAATAGGGCAGAATGCCCCCTGTGGGTTTTCGACACTAACTGTTTATGGAAGTAGAGAAAGCCTTCTCTTTCTCCCTGGGAGTAACTGGTGGTTTCAAACTGCTGGTGTTGCAGTAAGAGGCCCAGAGCATAACCACCATGGCTCCAGGGCTCTCGCTGCATATTGTATATATCTTCAGGAACAGAAGACATTGTCTTCACTGTCTAACTAACCATTGTAATTATGTAAAAATAATACATTTCAGTGACAACAGAACAGCAAAAAATATTTCTTGCCCAAACACCAACATGCACATATTTTGCTTCAAATAATGTATTAAAATTTTTTAAGATAAATACACTTTCTAAAAGTTAAAGCAATTCCAAGAACTGAAGTAGAAAGATAATGTTTTGAAAATGACGATGGCAACATATATAAGCTTGCTTGATATAATTGATTAATGGATTGTTATAATATCTGTAAGAGCCCCCAATAAAATGATTTAAAACAGAAAAAGACAAACAAAAGTTAAATCAGTATAAAATTGAAAAGTGAAAATAAGTATCCTTCTCATTCTATTCTTCAGCAGCAACTATAGTTACCAGAAATTTCAAACTCTTTTCCCCTTTGTTTTAAAAACGTTTTACAATGAATTGGATGAAGACTTACATGGCAGATCAGTTTTATATTCAATAATTCATACCATGAACCCTTTCTAAGATGAAAAATACATGTACAAGCATATCCTCCTTTATTAAAAATCAAAATGGCCACGTGTTACATGCACTGATCGGTATGGTATATTGCTTTGTTTCACTGGCGGGCTTCCATATTAGTAGATATAGATCTGCTTTAGTTTTTTCCCAAAAGCAACTGCATAGTATTCCAATGTATGATACTATAAAAACTACTTTGTATCTTGCCAAGAAACAGATCACAATAGCTGATTAAGTAAATGTCAGACAGACTCTTATTACTCTGTTATCATTTCTTCTGTAAGAGAAAAAAATTTCATTTCTATTACGTGTACCCAACCCTATTAATTATTTGGAAGAAGACATAATCTTAAAATGTAGATGTATAATTATTTGGGGGTTATCTGGTATCAAACTGAAATTTGTATGTTCTGGTTTCAAACTAGTTTCTAGTTAGGCCAGTTTCACTCGTCTACCCAAATTTTGAAACTGCTTTGGGAGAAAAGGCTCACCGGACAAATCTGTCATTTTTGAGAACATGAAAATGAACCAATAATAAAAATGTGGCACGGAACTCAAAAATACCAAAGGATGTATCTGCAGAGAAAATGCACCGTGCTTCTGTACGGTAAGATCTGCATCTCAGTTCAGTTCTATCCCTGGCTCCTCCTGTCACACTTTTTTTTAATCCACAAATAGCAGATGATATCTTGGACAGAGAATAGTTCAGGTGTATGCTTCACTTTGATTTTTTGATAATGATATTGTAACACAGTAATTTCACTTTTACTATAATTTTATATTAACTCTAAAGAATATTAGAACAATCCTTTACTAATAATTGTATAGCTAATAATAGTACCCCTACTTCACAGATGACAAAACTTTTAGATGTTAAGTAATTTGCCCAAGGTCGCAACCTAATATATAACTGAACCAAGATTTAGACCACACTTGCTTGACTTTAGAAAACTCATTCTTAGTTACTATTCTCCAGTAGTTACAAATTTCATGATTAAAGCATATATAACAGATTACAAATTCAACTACTAGAGCCATTCCAAAATAAGTTGATAAAAAATATCACTTCTCTGTTAAAAATTTAGCTCCCGTCCCACAATGAATGAAAACAAGAATTCTCATTCCTATCCCTAAAAACAGAAATACCCCAACATTCCTTTGAATATCCTAAGTGACTTTCTTATTCCTGGAAAGCCTCCTAATCACACCTGATGGTTTATGCTAGCAAGGTGATTGACTCATGGTATATGCTGGCCACTTGAGAAAGACCTATCAAATGTTCTCAGAGGGAGAGGAGGGCTGGAGACTGAGTTCGATCACATGCTAATGATTCAATTGATCGTGTTTGTGCAATGAAGCTCCAATAAAAAAATCTTAGCACAAAAGTATGGTAAGTTTTTCTGACTGACAATACATCAATCACCATGAGGGTGATGTCCTGATTCCATAGGGAGAAAATACAGAGCTTCAAGTTTGCAACCCACAGATTTCCTCTTTTGGCTGGTCTTAATTTGTATCTTTTCTTGCTATAATAAAATTGTGCCTATAACATTTTCTTAATTTCTCTAAGCCATTCTAGTACATTATTGAACCTGAAGAATACTGGGAATCACTGAATTATTCTGCTAGTTGGTCAAAAGTGCAAGTGTTCTTGGAGCCCCCATGCCTGTAATTCATAATGGGAAGCCCTCAATTTTTAGCCAATTGGCTCAAAATGCAGGTGGCCTGGAAACCTCCAAAACTATGACTCAAGTCTGAGATAAGAGCAGTCTTACAGAGGACTACAGCCTTAATCTGTGAAGTTTGGCCTAGGTCTGGGTAACTAGAGTCAAAAGAACTGACATTGCAAAACATATTATTCTGTTATATTTAACAATGCAAATTTCAAGGATTTTAAAAATTGAAATCTCTAATCATAATGTAAAATGCTTCCTTTTAATCTATTCCAAGAACAGAAGACAAAAAAAAAAAAGAGAAAGAAACTTTATATTTGGAGAGAATAGTTAACTCATGAAATCTGATCTTTTTAAAGTCAAATTCAGTTAATTTTTTCCTTTAGTTTTTATTTTAAAAACTTGAAAATTTTCTTGTAAAAATTATAAACCCATTACTGAGTATTTATGAAAATTATGCCCAAAAAATCACTTTTAAGACAAAAAAGAAACATTTAGATTTTGTTATAATTCTATCCAAGTACATGTAAGGCTGACTGAATGATACAATAAGCATCTTTGTAGAATAAATTTCATGTCCAATCCTAACTATATCCTTAGAGTGCATTCTTAAATCAAGGACTTTTGATAAATATTTCCAAATAATTTTTTAGCATATCCTACATGGGTAGTTCTCAGTCATTTCAATCTTTTTAAATTTGAGGGGTGAAAAACACCATGGTGATGTTGTTTTAATATACATGCCTCTGGTCACTAGGAAAAGGGTTCAATAAGTTACAATAGAATATGATGCGACTATAATACATATGAGGTAGAATTATATGTACTGACACGGAGGGATGCCCAAGGTAAGATAACAGCAAAAAAAAAAAAAAGCAAGCTTCAGATTTTGATATATGTTTTTCTCCATAGGGAAAGGGAAAAAACCCTCAAAATTATACATATATACATATACATATATATATACTTTTTTTATATGCATAGCAAAAAAGGCCTGGAAAAACATATACCTAATTACTAACAGTACCTATTGAGAGTGGGAGTTTTGGAGAGAAAGGCAAAAGAGAGACAAGTTTGTACTTGATTTTTGCTTGAATAAAACTATATAAATATGTAGATAAAGATGTTGAAAGTAACAAGGCACCATGTATTGTTTCCTTTATCACACTTCAGTCTGTAAGTCTTTCTGTGGTGACAGTATTCAGCATTATTATTATCACTCAGACCATTCTGCTTCCTCCCACTGCCACTGAGTCAGTTCCAACTTACAGTGACTCTGTAATAGGGCAGTGTAGAACTGCACCTTTAAGTTTCCAAGACACTTAAAAATCTTTACAACCATGGATAGCCTCATCTTTCTCCCCCCGAGTGACTGGTTGGTTTGAACCATTGACATTGTGATTAGCAGTTCGGTGCACAGTCCATTATGTCACCAGGTTCCACACAAAGTCTGTTAGCATCTTTAATTTTATATTGCCCTCTATTCAATATTATCCGAATTTAAAAAAAATCAGTATAGCTACTCTACATTTTACTTCTCTCCAATTTTTTTTTTAATTAAGAAAATAAAGCAACAGTCCCTTGAGAGTACTTTTATTTTTCTGGTGCTACACTTAAAATATTTCATTTAAAAAATTTTTAAAAAGGAGAAGTCAAGGAGGTGAGTGGGGAGGGAGGGGAAAAAATGAGGAGCTGATACCACAGGCAAGTAGAAAGCAAATGTTTTGAGAATGATGATGGCAACAAATGTACAGATGTGCTTGACACAACTGGATAAATGTATAGATTGTGATGAGCTGTATGAGCCCCCAATAAAATGATTTTTAAAAGGGGGAAAAAAAAAAGGAGAAGTCAAAAAAGGACTAGCTTGGGTAGAAAGTAGAAAAAGAAGTTTTTAGCCTTCTCCCAATATTTATGCTTATTGATAGGGTAAAGTGGAAACCTTTTTACACATAAACTATTTTATTTTTCCTCATCTATATTTTCCTCATCTATATCCACTGCTCCTAGAATCTCCAGAAGTTCCTGAAATTATCTACACTGACAGATGTGATTGCTTTAAGTTGGGGGCCAATGCAATGACAGCTAACTATAAGAACAACCTATTATTTTTGAGGTCAAGAATATTGACAGTTTTGTGCTATGAGAAAAATCACAAAAATTCTTTATATATTAAGAAATATAGCAAGTTACTAAACCATATAGGTTTTAAAGGGAGGAAAAATGAAGCATGATTTTAAAATAACAGTATATATGGCAATGTCTTTTTAAATGGTTAATCGACTAGTCTACTATATAACTCTGGAGATAGCTCTTTGTATGAGTGGGAATAACTGAACATAGGATACAAACCAGGAGTGATATTTAGTTCATTTCCTACAGCTAGACTCCAAACTTTCCCACGAACACTAGGGGGCAATCCCTGCCACCACAATTCTCGAACTCTTCTTGTACTACGCCTAGAATTAAAGGGGGAGAAAAAAGGAGAAAGTTACTTTTTGTATCAAATTACTAGCTTGTTTTGATGGTTTACCTAGTCTACAGTCAAGTGATTTTTTGGAACATAATAAGTAGATGATGCACTCTTTCCTTTGACTTTGTAGGCAGCAAAATCCTATGTTATAGTGTGCCAGACAGTCAATTCGGATCAGTGACCTGCAGAACAGAGAGTAGAACTGCCCCATCAGGTTACCTGTGCTGAAATCATCACAGGAACGCATCATCAGGTCTCTCCCTAGTGGACGTGACACATCAAACTTTTGGTTGGCAGATGAATACTTAACCACTGGAGCACCAAACACCTTACAAATAGATTTGGACATATAGAGACCCTATAGGGCAGAGTAGAACTGCCCCATAGGATTTCCAAGGCTGAAAACTCTTATCAAAGCAGAGTTCCATACCTTTCTCTCACAGAACAGCTGGCGGGTTCAAACCACTGACCTATTACTGGTTATCAGTCAAATGCTTTAACCATTGTATCACCTCGGCTCTTTCATAAATTTATAGTATCCCATAAAGGGACTGTGTACTAGCTTCAAAGAACCTGTCTCCTTTAGTCACTTGTACTACCAAGGACAAATGAGAGAATCAGAAGTACGTGGACAATTATGGAGGAGGAAAAATAAAAAAGGATAAAAGGGGCATCAAAATAAATTGTTTGAAAAAAAAATATATTGTCCGTTCAGTACAAAAATCAAAATAACAATAACAAAGAATCTATGCGAGTAAAACCTTAGTCTTTGAAAAGTAGTACAGTAAAAGTTTGGGCTTTAAAGTCAGATAGGCTTGAGTTCAAATCTTGTTTTACCACTCACTATCGTTTTGGGCAAATTACTTAACCTCTCTGACCTTGACCTTCCTTACGTGGTAAGTGGGGATAAAATGCATGCACCTCATACTGGTTCTAAGAATCACATGAGATCACTTACATAAAAAGTCTATATAGCACCTGGCACATTGTACCAATATTCCAAAAACCCCCACTGTACAGTGCAGAAGGTCTTTCCTACCCTCTAGTCTCAAATGACAATGGGCACGTACAGAAATATTATCAAAACAGAGAAAACAAAGTAAGGCAAAAGCTATTTGAGTATGAAAGCATGGTGGCCTATTAAGAGAAGAGAGAGATCATAAAGATCATATTTTCCTTGATTCTGAAAAAAGCACTTCAAAATGTTTATATTTAACATGTATGTTATAATCTATGTACATAATTAATGTTTTATTAAAAAAACTCTATTATATAGGGTGCTTTAAAAGGTTCATGGAGAAATGGAATTAAAAGATAATGGAATATTTCTATGAACTTTTTGAAGCGCTTTCATATTCATAGTACATCTTATAAATGATATGTTAGAATTAAACATGGTAACTGGTAAGATTTTTAAAGTTTCATGAACCAATTAGCATTTCAGATGGATTTTAATGAATGAATAAGATTCTGAGAGGCACAGAGAGTGGTCAGTAAAGAAAACAAGTATTAGAGATAGAGAAATTTATAAAAAGGAAAGGTCTAGGGATAAACACAAAAATATTCACTCATTGGTTAAATGTATAATTTGGTGGAAGCATAAGATATAGGTGGGAAGTAATAAAAATATAGAACTGAAAACATAAGTTCTCTGGAGGAAAACTAGAATTCAGGAAAAATCTGCTTACTTACATTACTTCCCAATTGGGCAGTATTTCATTGATCCAAATTACCATTGCGCTTGCAATATTTTCTTCCTGCTTAAATCGTTCTTTCATTATTTTTTTTCTTTTATGTGCTTCTTTAATTTCTGTTTTAAATAAGTAAGAGTTATTTCAATACAAATGAGCTAAATCAAAATCTCCTTCTATTTGCACCTAATTCTATAACAGATCTTTCTCAGAAAGGATAGTCTGATAATAGCACAAGGAAACACAGAAGAGTAAGATGGAGGAAAAAAGATAAAGAAAATTCACTTGGCTAACAGAATTTTGAAACAGCATCTCCTTTACAACAACAGTAAACAGAACTACAAATAGGAAACTCCTCTAAGTAGATTACTATATTACATATTTCTATTTATACTCAATATATGAATTGAAATGTCACAATTATTTGGGTGAAAAACAACTATGAGCAACTAATGCCATTTGTTATTTTAAGGGATTTGTTAACTTCCTGATATAGAACAAATTGACATTATAAATTATTTACAGACAGCACTGTTACAGTGAGCTCTTTTTAAGGTGGCATTTCATTTGGCTGATCTCTGAAATAAACACACACACACACACACACACACTCTACCATTTCCAGAGGGTAACAGAGTCACAATTTTTAAACAAGAAATGCCTCAAATATAGAGAAACAAGTTATAAATTAATAGTTACATAATTTGAGAACTAGTAGAGACTTTAAGAGATGAGCTAGTCAAACTTTTAAATTGTGTTTTACACATGGCTCACAAACTGTCCTGTAGGACAAGTAGAAGCCTAAGCAAATAGTGCATGATCTTTTGCTTGCCTCATGCATTCGATTCTATTTGAGATTCCTGGAAAGAGGGTCCCACTGTTTGAAAAGCAAAGTGGAAGGAGAGGGTGAAAGCCAATAATATAGTCCACCTGTCTCCACATTTTACAGATGAGGAAACTAACATTGAATCTTTTCAGAGTGCTATGTATGGAGAGCAGGATCATACATGCTTAAGATTTGTGGTCTTCTGATTTCCCAATTTGATGTGATCTATATTACGTTATATTGTTAGTATCATAATTTTAAAACTAAATAAGGAAATATATATTAATTTAAAATTTATTGGAAATATTAGCAATAATTTAAATTCTGTATAGTGGAATAAATTCAATGTTTAAAAAATAGGCCTTTTATCTAATTCCTTACTGTTTGCTTAATCTTTATGCTTTGCTTTTATTTATTTTGAAGAAATTTATTCATTTTCTTTGAGGTTACTCTGTAATTTATTAGTTTCTTCCCAATTTAAAAGCTGTCCTATCTTGAAATCTATTATTTCCTCTCCATTTGAAAGTTCCGTAAGTACATTGTACTATTTATGTTGTACTTTTCTTCACTACAAATTGGTACTTCTGGCTCCCTACTTTTAGTCCTGTAAGTTTGTTTTCCTTTGGAGACTTCTGTATCTGGGCTGACTGCTGGGTGATGTTAATCTCGGGCTGCCGTCTATTGCTGTTGGTTCTCTGTCCAAAGAACGTGCCTTAGTATTTCTTGTAAGGTCGGTCTCGTTTTCACATATTCCTTCTATTTCTGTTTATCTGGAAATGTCCTAATTTCACATTGTATTTGAGGGGCCATTTTGCTGGGTAGGATTCTTGGTTGGTTTCTACTGAGAAATCAGAGCTTATTCTTACTGGTTCCCCTTTGAATGTAACTTTTAGGTCCCCTGCCCACCTCACGCCAAGACACTCTCAGGACTCTTTTCTTAGCTTGATTATGATATGTAATGGTGACTTTCTTTTTGAGTCTATCTTGTGTGGGGTTCATTCAGCTTCATGAATTCATTATCTTCTTGTCTTTCAGGATATTGTTAGGGAAGGGTGATAACCAACTTGGCCAATAGGAACATGTGGGATTAGTCAGGTCACAGTTTGATTGGGGGCCAAAGAGATGAATGGCTCTGCAAGGCCCGGCCCGCTCTCTCTTGCTCTCTGGTGATCAGAGTGCTGGACCGTGCTGCTGCTGCTTTAGCCAGTTCTCTGCCTTCCCTTTCCTGCTGCTGAGATACTCACAGAGCTAGAGGAGACAGGAAGACCCATACCACCATCTAGATCCACAAAACTTTCTAACCCACTGGCCCGTGATCTTCCTGCATTGCATTTGGCATCATTGCATGTGCTAAGTGAGTCTAAAGAAGAATTTATGGACTAGTATCAGACAAATGGCTTAATATCGGACTTATGGAGTTAATCTGGACTGGGCTGGGGCAATGTTTTCCAGAAGGCTGCATATACGCTAAACCCACGGGCCACCTGCAGCCCGCCGAGGACATTTATCCGGCCCGCCGGGTGTTTTTGCCCCATTTGTTTTTTACTTCAAAATAAGATATGTGCAGTGTGCATAGGAATTTGTTCATAGTTTTTTTTTTTAAACTATAGTCCAGCCCTCCAACGGGTCTGAGTGACAGTGAACTGGCCCCCTGTTTAAAAAGTTTGAGGACCCCTGCCCAGCAGCCAATATATGGTGCTGTGTCCCCAATAGCCAAGATTCATGAGTCTAGGAACCAAGGGATGGAAGCTGGAGTAGCACCACTTACTATTACTCCTAGTGATCCACTTGCAACATTTTCCTTTCTGTACCAGCAACCCTATGCTCTTCAGGCCTGGAGATCCTAGTCCCGAAGGAAGAACTCTCCCACCTGGAAACACAGCATGGATTCCACTGAACTGGAAGCTGAGAATGCCCCCTGGCCACTTTGGGTTCCTCATGCCTTTGGATCAACAGGTCAGGAAGGGTATCACTGTACTGCGTGGTATGACTGATCCTTATTACCAAAGAGAAACTGGACAAGTGCTAAATAATGGAGGTAAAGAAGAATATGTCTGGAATCCAGGAGTTACCCTAGGCTGTCTCTTAGTCCTACCATGCCCTGTGATTAAAGTAAATGGTAAACTACAGCAACCCAATCTTAACAGGATGTCTAATGACCCAGACCCCTCAGGAATGAAGGTCTGGGTCATCCCACCATGCAAAGAACCACAGCCAGCTGAGGGGCTGGTTGAGGGCAAAGGTAATACAGAATGGGTAATAGAAGAAGGCAGTTTTACCCATCAGTTATGACCATGTGATCAATTACAAGGGTGTGGTTTATGATCGTATTTCTTTGTATGTGCTTATTGAATATATTTGTTCATGTACAATATATAAGATACAATTATATTGTGTTTTCTTTTATATGCATGATAGATGTATGTATGATGTTAGGTATAATTGTGATTTTGTTAATGTCTGGAAATTATATATGGCTAAAGAATTGTGTACACATGCCAAGTTGGCAAAGGGTGGACTGTGATAGTTAGGTTTTCTGTGCCAACCTGCCCAAAAGGAACATGTGGGATTAATTAGGCTGCAGTTTGATTGGAGGGCAAAGAGATAAATGCCCACTCCCCTCTCTTGCTCTCTGCTGATTAGAGCATGCTGGAACCTGCTGCTTTAGCTAGTTCTCTGCCTCAACCTGTGAGCTACACCACCTGCGGGCCAAGCCAACCCCTAGATCATGTAGCTAAAGCTTGAGGCTCTTCGGAGACCTGTTTTGCCATGCTGCTGGTGTGTACATCATTTGAGCTTAAAGCTGGTAGATCCTTGTAGCCTTGCATTGCTTGTGTTTGATATCCCATCCTGGACTGCTTCACTAAGCACCCAAGCTACTGACTGTTGGTGACCCACCCTGCTGTTTGCTCGCCTTGCCCAAAGGAGAACTCTGCTTCCTTGACTTTGAACCTGACAGCCCATGTGAGTTGAAGGACTTCCAGGGAAGTGAGTTGAACTGAACCCTCTGTACTGCTGTGTGGACTAGTTAGCTGTTAAATTCCTTCTCGCTGTATAAACAAACATATGTATGTTTGTTTATATAAATATAAAAAATATATTTTATATACATTTATTAATTTATATAATTTATATAAATAAATTATAAGTGGTTTTGTTTCTCTGGTCTACCCAGAATAACACCGGAAGTTTTCTTTCAGTGAGTCTTTTACAATTTACTTTTCTGGAATTCTAATCACAGTAAATTATTCCTTTTGATGATGTCTCACATAAGTCCAAGGCTTTCTTCAGATTTTTTGCTTTTTTTAATTGTTCCTCTAGCAGTGAGATACTGAGCAATTATTTGTCTTCAAGCTCATTAATTCAGCCATCCATTGATTCAATTCTACTCCTTTGCTCTTTTGATGCATTATCTAGTTCAGAAATCAATCTTCTCTTTTCGCATGGTTTCTGATTTTTCATTTATTTTGCGTTTTTAAAAAAATTTTGTCAGTTTTTCCTGTGTTTTCCGGAATGCTTCTAGAGTTTTCTCTGATTTTGTCTAAAACTTTAAATATCACTATAAATATCTAGCACCATAAATATCACTCTTTTGAGTGTCGTCACAGGTAGTTCCAGTACCTTCTCTTCTCAAGAAAGGTATTCTGGCTGTATATTGTTATTGGTTGGAGTCACTCCTGTCTATTTTCTTTGTGGAAATTGAAATTGTCAGTTGTGATGTTACTGTATTTGAATTTAGTTAATAAGTCTATGTTGGTGACTGTTTGTTTCCCCAACAGGGAGGCAACCACTTTTGGGAGTTACGAGGGAATTAGTGGGTTATAAGTTGGGCTTCAAACCACAAGATTGCAAGTTCAAAACCACTAGTCACTCTATGGGTAAAAGATGAGGCTTTCTATTCCTATAAAGAGTTATAAAAAAAAAGAATTACAGTCTCGGTAACCCACAGACAGGAAGATCTAGCCTGTCTTATAGAGTTGCTGTAAGTTAGAATCAACTTGATGGCAGTGAATTTGTTTTTTTTTGGTTTGGTATGTTGGTAAGACCTAACCCATTCAACACCTGTCTCTTTTTTCCTTACCAGTTACCAACTGGTCGGGTCACCGATGGATTGCTGTTTACAAAGAAGTCAAGATGGCTGACCTGATCAGGCCAGTCAACATTTCACATATCTGTCTCCTCTAACTGCTTTGTTCAGCTTCTTCTCCTACTCAGCATTTAATCCACTTCTCTATCTTTTCTTCCAAAGCTCATCATTTCAGACTATCATCTATATCTATTTTATTAGGTCTCTAGAATAGTTGTTGTGGAGGGTCTATGTAGCATGACTTAGTTCACTATTTTGCCAGAAGTCAGTAAAAGTCCTTTCAGTGTTAATCTCAATGCCATATTTATTCCAAAAATTGAAGAACCAAATTCATTTTTGAAACAGCACAAAGCAGACTTTGTGCATCTTGTAACAGTATTTTGTTCACTTAAGTCAAAGGAAAAATATTTGGTTTTAATAAAGCAAAAGTCTAGAGGCTCATATAGTTGTGTAATATTTTCTAAAATGCATGCTTATCATGAACGAACAGTAGTTAGTTAACAGTTACTACTAAATTATACACTTACTAATTTTTTTAATTAGAGAAAGGAATTAATAAGTAAGTGTGTGACCTTACATACATTATGCCTGTCCATCTATGTGCCTGGTAAAATGACACAATTGAGACTCTGGAAAGTCCTTAGAGAGATTTTAAGAGTCACTAAAACAAAATTTCATTTCAAATCATGTTCTCCCAGACATATACAAAGCTATCTTAAATGTTGAAATTAAGCTTTAAAAAATGAAAACCCAAAAGCCATAAAATTTCATCGAAAAGTTCATGAATGTTTTTGTTTATAAATCCAGATAGCAGCAGTCCAAAAGGTCTATGAAATTACAAGGGCCCATATAGACAGTCTGTCCCTTTCTCCTAATCTTAGTTTTATAAAACTACCTGCATAAAAATTACAATCCTGGTATGTCACACCTCTTATAGAACAGTTAGAAAATATAGTTGTTTTAAAAAAAATGGAATTCAGCATTATCGTGAAAAATCAACTCAATTTCATCAACCATCTTCCTATTAAAATTAACCAAGACAAAATCAGTAAATTAACTATACCATATGGAGTTAAATTTAATACCTCGTTTTTTAGCCTCAGCCACCATCTCATCATATTCTTGCCGGTGACGTAAAGCTTCTTCCACAGATTTGGCAGGAAGATTTCTAAAAAAGAAAATTACTTAAGTAGAGCCAATCTTTAAAAGACTAATACTAAACTTATTAACTCCTTACTTTTTTTTGCATTAGGTAAATCTGCTACACAAGACCTCTTTATCTTATTTTTTTTTAAATTATTTTATTGGGGAACTCCTTACTTTTTATAGCCATTTTACTACCAAAAGATCAGTACTATTGAAAATCTAAGGAAGTCCATTAGGCATAAGAAAACTAACAGAAGAAAATTTGTAGGTCTGAAATCTCTTAAAAGATAATAGAAAGGCTTAGAGAAAAAAAATATGGTATGGAGTTTGTAACTGGGAAAAGCATAAATGTAGATATAATACCAGAATGGTCAAGAGTGGGGATAGAAAAGATACTGATATAATGCTCTTATTGTTACATACAAAATGGCACCGTGCTACTGGAAGATAATTTGTGAATAGTTAAGAAGATACATACACATTGCAAATTCCAAAGAAACTACTGAAAAAGCACACAAAGAGCCATAAATGATTCACTAATGGTGGTGGAAATAAATGCAAAGAACATATTCTGTCCAAAAGCAGGCAAGATAGAAATAACTAACAGGGCAAACAAAACAAATAACAAGATGGTATTGTTGTTAGGTGCCATCGAGTCGCCTCCGACTCGCAGCGACCTACGTACACCAGAAGGAACCCTCCTGCTCCGTCCTCCCACGCCTGCAGTCACTGTGCCGGTCCACTTCATGGAGGGTCTTCTTTGGCACTGGCCCTCTCCTTTCCTGAGCCTGAGGTCCTCTTCCAGAAACTGGTGTCTCCTGACCACAAATCTCACCATCCTCCCTTCTAGGGAACATCCTGGCTGTCCTTCTCTGTTTGTTGTTCTGACATCCCAAGTACTTTTAATATTCTTCTCCAATACCATGATTCAAATGCAACAATTCTTCTCCAGTCTTCATTATTCATTGTCCAGCGTTTCACATGCATGTGAGGTGTGACTGAAAATACCATGGCTTGAGTCACAGGTAGCTCAGTCTTCTAAGTGATATCATTAATGGCATATTGCAGGGAATCCTGATGTCACATACAGATAATTTGCTCAGTACGCAAATAATAAGTACGGTGAAAGAAATAATAACTTTCAAGAACACCTTTCCTGATTTTAAACCATGCAGTACCTTGTATTATGTTCAAATGACTGCCTCTTGGGTCTACATGCAGGTTCTCAATGAGCATAATTAAGCATTCTGGAATTCCCATTCTTTGCAATATTATCCATACTTTGCTACACTCAATAGAAAAAGAAAAACAAGTAAACATTATTCTAGGGTTTTCTGCTTTCAGCCAAGAGTCACCTGATGTCAGCAATAATATTGCTTGTTCCCTGGAGACACAGTGAGGGAACTGTGCCCAATCTGACCCCACCACAACAAGGTGTGCAACAGAACAGCAGGGGGAGCACAGCAAGGAAGTCCCGAGGGAATACCAAAAATTGGCTTTGGGGCCAGAGTGTAGCTCCCCATCTAACTTAACCAGTAAACACTCCTAAAGGTCAACAAACAGACCCTGAACTATTTAGGCTTTTCTTTCTTTTTTCTTAGTCACTGGTTTTTGTTGTTGTTTTGTTTTCTTTTGTCACTTTGTTTTGCTCTGTCTTGTTTTTGTGCATATTATTATATCTGCAAGTCTATCTAGATAAGATAGGTGGGATAAACAATCTGTAGGAGAAAACAACAGGACCAACAGTTCTGGGAGGACGTGGGAGAGGGGGAGGTGGGGGAAAGGAAGTGGTGTTAAACTCAGGGACAAGGGAACAACAAGTGATCCAATAATCAGTGGCAAAGAGGGTGTAAGTGACCTCTAGGGCTTGATCAAGGGCAATGTAACCGAGAGGAATTACTGAAACCCAAATGAAGGCTGAGCATGATAGTGGGACAAGCGGAAAGCAAAAGGAAATAGAGGAAAGAACTAGGAGGCAAAGGGTATTTATAGAGGTCTAAATACAGGCATGTACATATGTAAATATATTTATATATGAAGATGGGGAAATAGATCTATGTGCATATATTTATAGGCTGAGTATTAAGGTAGCAGATGGACATTGGGCCTCCACTCAAGTACTCCCTCAATTCAAGAACACTTTGTTCTATTAAACTAGCATTGCATGATGCTCACTGTCCCTGAATGACTGCTGAAAACAAAGCAGGTGCATAAACAAATGTGGTGAAGAAAGCTGAAGGTGCCCGGCTATCAAAAGATACAGCATCTGGGGTCTTAAAGGCTTGAAGGTAAACAAGCGGCCATCTAGCTCAGAAGCAACAAAGCCCACATGGAAGAAGCACACCAGCCTGTGTGATCATGAGGTATCGATGGGATCAGGTAACAGACATCAAAGAACAAAATATCATAGCATTGTGAATGAGGGGAGTGCACAGTGGGGACCCAAAGCCCATCTGTAGGCAACTGGACATCCCCTTACAGAAGGGTCGCTGGGAGGAGACGATACAGTTAGGGTACAATGTAGCAATGATGAAACATACAACTTTCCTGTAGTTCCTAAATGCTTCCTCCCCACCACTATCATGATTCTACTTTACAAATACGGCTAGACCAGAGGAAGTATACTGGTACAGACAGGAAACACAGGGAATCCAGAAAGATGAACCCCTCAGGACAGGTGCTGAGAGTGGCAATACCGGGAGGGTGGAGGGAAGGAGGGGTAGAAAGGGGGAACCGATCACAAGGATCTACATATAAACTCTTCCCTGGGACAAGCAACAGAAAAGTGGGTGAAGGGAGACATTGGTCAGTGTAAGACATGACAAAATAATAATAATTTAGAAATTATCAAGGGTTCATGAAGGAGAAAAATGAGGAACTGATACCCAGGGCTCAAGTAGAAAGCAAACGTTTTGAGAATTATGATGGCAACAAATGTACAAATGTGTTTGATACAATGAATGTATGTTTGGATTATGATAAGAGTTGTACAAACCCTTTTAATAAACTTCTTTTTCTAACTTGGAGTTAGTGAACTGGCTCTGCTGCTCCAGGGCACGAACCGTATTAGAGGTAATAGGGCTTTCAGCTCTGATACAGATGTACAACCTCAGAAACCCACAGGAGCACTTCTAATCTTTCCTAGAGGGTTGCTATGTGTCAAAATCTACTTGAAGGCAATGAGTTTGGTTTGTTGGTTTGCTTAGCTTCTTCATTAAAGAACATAAGTTGAATTTTCTCATAAGATGCCATGACTCTACTTGAGAAAATGCAATATTCCTATGATAAAATCTTCTGTTTTAATTTCTCATGGAAGAGTGTTAGTCCCATGTTTTCATTAAAAACAGTCTCTATCAAGAATAGAGTCTTTGAATTGCCCTGTTCCATCTCCTCCCTGACCAACCTACTGCCACTGAGTCAATTCCAACTTACACAGACCCCACAGGGTGAAACAAACTGCTCTCCAGGGTTTCCAAGGATAAAAAACATGAATATCATTTTTTTTTTTTGAATATCGTTTTTATGTACGGAGGCAGAGGGAGCAGGCTCTGGTCCCCTCGGGGCTATGTCTTCGGTGCCAGGAGCTACCCATCCACTGGTTCTATCCTCAAATGCCAAGACAAGGACCCGGGGGTGGGGGATCATTTTATTGGGGGCTTGTACAACTCTTATCACAACCCATACCAAGGATAAAAATCTTTACAGAAGAAAGCTTCTCTCCTGCAGAGCAGCATAGGGGTTCAAACTGCGGACTTTAAGACTCCTAGCCTAACTTGTAACCAATTAGACTCCTAGCCCAACTTGTAACCAATTAGACTCCTAGCCCAATTTGTAATCAATTAGGCCAAGAAGACTCCTCTCTCATTGGCAACAAATCTGAAACAAAGCTTTGACAAGTTTTCATAACTAAATTTCTGAAACGCCTTTTCAAAGGAATAATGAATACTTATAAATTCACCTAGTCCTAATAAAATAGTATCGGAATGGCAGCTCTTTAGAATGAAGGGATTATACATATGCATGTGTATGTACATGTGTGTGTGTATTATTCTCCGTTTCTTGTCTTGAAATGTCTACAAATGATTTTACTGTGTTTGGCTACAGACCCTTTTATTATGCTTGAGATAGTTCGTAGAAAAAGCTGCAGACCAAAACAAATCCAGGAGTTTTACATTGGAATTAGAGAACTCTAGCAGAAGAACAGACTCAGAGAGCCCCTGGAAGGAGGAGTTAGGAACCAAGTGGCATTCACGGTGAAGTTCATAGAGGTTAGGGAAATGGAGGAATGGAAACAGAAAGCACAGGGATGATGTAGGATGAGTGGTGCCACACTGAGCAAGGATTGACACGAATGAGATGAAACATTGTGTATGAATTGTGGGACGTAAAATGATGTTCTGCTATAGCCTTCCCCTAAATCACATACACACAAAAGTTTTAAAAACAAAGAAAATTAATCGCTTGAGGGGAGGTATCTGGTTTGATAACAAATCAGTGTCACTAAACTAAGAAGCAATAGCTGTGGATGTAATAAAGATAAGACGAAAAGAGATAAGAAAAGAATAAATAAAAATGTTTTGTTAGGTATTAATGTGTTTGGTCAAGAAAAGAAGAGTAATTGATCTATCATGTTAATACAGGTTTCAGTAGGGTTGAAACAGAAACAAATAAAAAGCCATTATTTTGTATATCATATATTGGATCACCAAACCAAACCCACTGCTGTACAGCCAATTCTGACTCAAAGTGAACCTATGGACAGAATAAAACTGTCCCATGGGTGTCCAAGGCTGCGTATCTTTACAAGAGCAGAAAGCCTAACCTTTCTCATGTGGAGTGGCTGGTGGGTTCAAACTGCTAACCTTGTGCTTACCAGCCCAGCATCTACCCTACTATGCCACCAGGGTTCCTATGTAGGCTCATAGACTTCTGAAATTTCCTTATAAGGCTTAGTCTTCAATAAATTCTTCCCCTATTAAAACACAGCGCTTAATTTTAAATTTAAAACTAAAATAAAACAAACAAGACACCTTTCATTTCTCATTATCTTTTAAGTAAACAAGAATAAATTTAAATTAAAAACAATTCCTAATGATTATTAGAGCACTTACGATGGTCGATCCTCAAGAATCAGAGCAGTGGTAGAAAGTGGCTCAAACTCAAAATTTTTACGTCTTGAAGACTGAGGTGGTGGTTTACAGGTCCTCCCTGTTCGTGCTTCATATTCCTAAAGTAAATAAAAATAAACTTTATCCAGAGATTTTCCCAATTTTCACTTTGGATTAAATCTGCATTCTTAAACATTAATCTTTAATAAGTAGGGAATACATGCAATTCTTACATTGTTTTGATTAAAATATTAGGCAAGAAATATAATTCACTTTTCCCCCCTCAATCTAAATTATGTATTTATGTTACATACAAAATATCAAGGTATGTTAAGAAAAGAGTGATACAAAAATGCTAGATTAAGTAAGTAAGGTTTTTGGGAGAAGTTTTTGATTGCCTTGTATGTATCAGTCATCCATGTTTACACAGCTATCCTCTATCCATATCACTGGTGAAAATGTTGAAACAAAGCCCACATGGAAGAACATATCAGCCTGTGTGATCACGAGGTGTCGAACAGATCACTGAAGACAAATGGGTGCATAAGCAAATGTGGCGAAGA